ATGTAGTGAACATGGATCCATAGTGTTCATAGTTTGAAGGATGTTGGTACACCATCTTACACCCTGCTCATCATAATCGAACTCTACACAAATGTATTCAGCTATATAGATCCAGGTATAGATTTAGGTTCGTGACTTTTTTATTTTATTTTTGCGTTTTCTTACCTAGACAGTCTTGGCTAGATAGTGTAAAAATTTCGGATCATTGTCAATGCTGGAACATACTCAAAAATCGATTTTAAAATATAGGGTACCGAGGCACGCGTATGAGATAACAGTCCCGAAAGTTTGTTTGTTTGTTATATGCAAATGAGTTGTTAGCCTCAGTTATGTTGCGGCGATGTGTAACTTCCTATCCGCGATCCTGTTTAACTTACCTCAAGCGCTATCAGCTAGTCCAAAAAAAAATGACAAGACGTGGACGTTTCTAGCATGCAAGCGGAATAACAAAAACACAATTTTAAATGATACGTAAACTTTTTCATCCCTTTTCATGTCAACAACTTCCAGTCTGGCAGCTTCCAGTGATAATTTAATAATTTTTTTTCATGCATTTTATTCTCCAAAGGCATTTTAAAACTGATTTATACATTCGTCGTTTCGCTGTAATGATCACCGTGCTGATAGCATTGCGAATAAACACCATTGCTGTGCTGTCATCGATAACTAACTAACTAACTAACGTAAAATGCTCGGTTAATTAACAATACCCTGAAAATTACAGAAAAATCGGCAAAGAGATACTGTTTTTAAACACTGCGGAAAAATCACGCACTCTGCGATGCCAACTTTGTTACCTTAAGTGTAAACCCCCTTGACAGCTAGCATGCATCTGTAGCGATGTCGCAAGGTACGTTGTACGGCCGTGCTCGGTGACCTCTGGTACTAAGGCAATCTATGAATGAGGTATTTCCAGTGGCCATGGTTCGTTTAATTTTTACCGACTCGTCTGTAGTTGAATGAAACATGTCTCGATTTACAATAGTTTGTCTTCCATTTCGACTTTTTCGAACCGGCGTTTGAGCGATTGAATAATAAAAACCGCGAATATCTGTTGTGTAGTAAAATATTACGGCCCATTTCAACCTGGCCGTCTAGCTTCGCACGGTCCATTTCACCGGAGTTCGTTAAAAAGTGCGTCATACAGAGTTTTTTTAAAAGGTTTATGGAAAGGTAAATTTAGACTCAGCACACCCAATATCGATCGCTATGTTTATACAACTGTATGAATATATCATTGGCTTTACGTAATCCATTGTGCCCTCCTTAAGTGGAAATGATAATACGACGCCATGACAGTTTTCACGCAAGGTTTTGACTCCGCGGACGATTTCACGTTTGTTTCCCTCGTTTTGTAAATATTTTTATTTATTTTTTATCTGACGATTGAACATCAGCAAGCGTCGGTGAATGATGGATTTTAGCATGTTGTCGTGGTGCAATAGCCATTTCTGTGGACGATTAACGTCACTGGTTGGTCAGAGAGATTGAAAAAATATATATTAATTACATTATTAATTAAAATTAGCTCCCACAGATTTTGGCACTTTGTCTTGAAATTTTCACACTATTTCACTCGGAATAAACAAGAATTGTGAGAGCTATTTAGATTTGAACTTCCATGGTAAACTGAAAAATACAAGTGGAGATAATGGCCAATTTGCATAACGATAGGATATGCGCATGCGTCGATTTGTGTAGACGTGTCAGCAGCACGCTGGTTCCGTAAATTGAAACTGTACGTGATTTATGACTATGTTCAAAGTCTCCTGTGTGGTTATTCGTGACAAGTTGCTGAATGGATTCCAAAAGTTCGGAGTGCAGTGAGCGAAAACCTGGCGTAAAAAGTTTATTGGAGTGTTGAGCCCATT